TTTTTTTTTCGCCATCTTTTGTATTTATTTTTTTAATAGGTTCATTATTTCTAAGCTTTTTTTCCCCATATTGATGAAAACCGTGTCCGTGCCGTCCGGGCCTCGCTAAGCTCGCTCAGGGAGTTGGCACCCGTGAGCCGTACCTCCTAAACGCGCCCGATCCCAGCTCTTTTAGGTAGTCCTTGCTTCCACGTCGTACGGCGGATACACGGCAAACCTGGGGGGTATTTTTTTAATAGGTTCATTATTTCTAAGCTTTTTTTCCCCATATTGATGAAAACCGTGTCCGTGCCGTCCGGGCCTCGCTAAGCTCGCTCAGGGAGTTGGCACCCGTGAGCCGTACCTCCTAAACGCGCCCGATCCCAGCTCTTTTAGGTAGTCCTTGCTTCCACGTCGTACGGCGGATACACGGCAAACCTGGGGGGTTCATCCGTGGGACAGATCTGCGAGGGCAGTAGCTGGCTCTCAAGGGAGGTTTTACGCAAGGAGCTTGGGCGAATAATCGGATCTTGGCTTGAAATATCATGAGAATCTGAATAAGTTGAAGACAAACCTCATTTTTATCTTAGAGAGGTGAGATGTAAAGAGCAGTCGGACACCAGTGAATTTTTTTTTTTTTTTTTGCTGTTTCTTTTCATATTTGAAAAGTTTGAAAGACTCTGGGAAACTTAAGTTTTGGAAATAAGCTCACCTTTTTCTTCAGGCAATACTTTTGAGGAACAGACATCTATTTTCAGGAAAAAACCTTTTGCCTAGGAATCGGAGACCAAATTTGTCTAACACAGAACTAGACTTCTGTTTTATGCCATATCTCAGGGTGAGGAAGAAACCTGAAGCAATACATTTATTTTGCCACTGTTCTGGTTCTTCCGAGATATTCTCAGCACGCCCAAACATTTCCACGATCAACTCGGTGCTCCTGTTACACCAAACGTTACTGATGGAGCTGAAGAAGGCTGACAGCAAAATGCCTTTTTTTTCCTCATGCAAAATACTTTTTCAATCAGCTCGCTTAGGTTTTTGGAGAGGTGTCAAGTCTCCCTCTGCCTTCGTAGGTCTTGGCACTGCTCTAGAGGTGGGGGGGAAGGAGAAAATGCTCATATTTCTGTCATTTTTTCTTGAAGGTGAAGTTGTGTAGTAAAAAAGGGAAGGCTTTAGTACAACCTTAATTAAAAACCATGAGCAACGTGCTACTGAATAATAGGTGCAGGAGCTATCATTGCTGCTAATTAGTGATGAACTCTGATTTTTAAATAGAGAAAAGGTGTTTTTCCACAATAGGCTTTCAGGCTATGTTGTTCATACCTATTGAACCAAAAAAGGTACAGATCCTGGCAAAAGAAGCTTCAATGTCTGCTGCTGAAATTATAGTGAAAAATGAAATTCTAAAATGCAATAAAAAAAATCTTGTTGTCGCTTGACTGATTTATAGCAGATAACAAAATTGGGGCAAATAATCTTTAACAATTTCTGTCCATAAATTCAATATATTTCTTTTTTCTATTTAACTATACAGGGACATGAATAAGTGGTCATAGCGAAGGGGCAATATATATTGTGTCTCCTGTACCTCAGTGTACTGCACTCGGTAATCACCTTTACCAAAATACCATTCTTTTCACAGAACTTTATTCTAATCAGTTATTTTTTCCTTTATCTTCTCTTTCTTACATGTCTGTTAAGTGTTTCAGCCGTCCTGTGAACAACAGAATATACCGTATCACAGAAGACTGTACCGTGTTCCATAACCACCAGGAAAAAAAAAAGGGCGGGGGGATGATATTTAATTTGAAAGTCACATTCCTCATGTGCCATCTCCCTTGGGATGCTAACAATTTCTTCTGAAACTTGTTGCAGATGATTGCCCTGGTTATGGATTCCTTCACAGATACCGATATCTTCAAAGACCTCTTGGAAGCTTGTAGCCAGCGGCAAGTTAAAGCATATATCCTTCTAGATCAGTCTTCATTTTCCCACTTTCTAAAAATGTGCAAGGATCTGGGAGTTGACCTGGAACAGGAAAAGGTGAGCCTTGTCATATTTATAGGGATAGAGAGATGATCCTCTTATGACTGTAATCTTTGAGCTATCAAAAGAAGAAACTATTTTGCCTGCTGCCACAACTTAACTTAAAATGGGTTTTATGTAGCTCTAGCTCTTTCTTGGAAGATTTAACCATTCTTGCATAAGAAGGCAATTAATAGAAAAACTGAAATCTTTATAAGTGGCTGTTACAATTGCTTTCTGAGCACAAATACTAATGGAATATTCAAGGAAATGCAGGAGGAATGTCCAGTTTCTAAAGCATGACTGGAGTTGCTGAGGCTCGACAAGACTTTGAAGGCGGATGGAGAAGCAGGTTCTCAGGAGTCTGTGGGGTTCGGGTCCCTCCAAGATTTGGCGACAGGAGTTTTTACAATCACATTCTGCACAATCAGTTTATGGGTTTTATGGCCCCTTCATGCCACCTCTTTGCCTTCTAAAAGAAGACAAAGTTATCATTTGGTTCCTAGGGGGTGAATCTTGTGCCACTGTGCAGCAACCTTTGCTAGTTCATCAGTGATAATTGTTGTTGTCTGTTACTCTCTTAAAAACAACTGTTTAACCTTGAAATCCACATGGCGCTTGCCATATCTTTAACAGTTGATGAGAATTCGAAATATCACTGGGAACACATACTACACGAGGTCGGGTGCCAAAATTGTTGGAAAAGTCCGTGAAAAGTTCATGTTAATTGATGGCATTAGAGTGACAACGGGCTCCTACAGGCAAGTGCCAATTTCTTTCTGTTGCTTTACATGATTTCTTTACGTGGAAAGGAAAAACAGCCACATTGCAAAACTACTTTCCTTGTCACAGTTTATTTGTAACGTTTGTCCTAAAAAGAGCACACTGCTCATCATTCGGATTAGAACAATCTAACTAAATGTGATGAAAGAGAATTTTCAGTTAATCCCTTGTTTGCTATTTATTTTCAGTTAACTCAGAATTTTCTCATTCTTCCTTTGCTAGTTTTACATGGACAGATGGGAAGCTGAACAGCAGCAACATTTTGATCCTGTCAGGCCCCGCAGTTGCACACTTTGACCTGGAATTTCGGATTCTTTATGCACGGTCAAAGCCTATCAACCTCAGAGAGCTATCCAGCTGCAGGAAGAATAAGGTGTTGGACCAGCTGGTCAGGATAACAGTGGCTTCCAGAGACTTGACCAGGGAAAACTTCCTGAGAATGGAGTTTTTGTATCTTAGAGCATTTGTAGGAAATCTAAAAAGGAAGCGAAGCTGGCTGCACGCCTCAAGGGAGGCAGTCTATGTGTCAAATAATGCGATGCATGCCTCTCCTCCACTGACTAAGAGGAATGGCTCTCTAGTTATGAGGCCACACTGGATCACGGAGAGATGAATTGCACGTTCACTCGGAGCGAGAAGCAGAACCTCAGGAGCCACGTCCAGCCATCCATGTCCAGCACTGTCTCACTGTATGTTTGTGAGAGCAGCTGGGAAACAAACCTCGAACTGAAGAGAAAGTGATACTGGAATTGTTGTTTTGTTTGAAGACCACTATAATGCAGATCAACAGATACAATTATGGTATTGTCTTAGGCTCAGATGTGTTTTTTAAAAAAAACTCGTAACACCTAGAAAGCCATTATTGACTTCTAGTATTCTGTCAGATTTTCATTTTTCCACCTATTCTTACATGTTTTAAGCTGATGGGTTAGCATCTTACCTCAGTAGCTCAAACCTTTTTTTAAGGAGTCTAGGTATAAAAAATAATATTGCTTAAAGGTCTTCCAAAGATGAATAGCAGGACTGCTGTACGGCTCTGAAATCAGTCTAAGCTTAGTCTTGTGTTGTACGAACTCTCCACGAACTGTTTCATGACACAGAACTGAAGTGGAGTAACCATAATCTAGAAACCAGTAGATCAGTAGCATGCTACTAGTCCTCATATGTTACGTTTTCTTTACACGAAGCTGTGCTGCTAGGCAGAACGAGCTAACATGTCAGATGAAGAAGGCTTTTGCAATGATTGAATTTCAAATTACCTTTTCTTTGTAAGAATACTTGGATTGTTGGACATCATGCAATAAATGTGTGTAAGGGATATTATTGCTAAGAACCCACTATGTTTGTAGTAGAGTCAAATGAGACCATTTTCTTGGCATTACTATATATACTTTTTGGTTTCTTTATGGTTGCTACTGCTGTCTGATGGGAAAAGTTGAGTAGATCTGAAATCTGTGGAGCTGCTGCTACTTCTCAAAAGCCTTACTTCCACCAGACATGCAATAAAATGAAAGTCAGAAATAGAACCATTTATGTTTAAGGTTTCATGCAAGCTCCATTTTTTAAAAAAATCCATCCATTTCTGGAGAAAAACAAAAAAACCCAAATGAATAAACCATCCTCCCAAACGGTTGTACATCGAGGCACTGAAGTTGCAGCAGCCTGCCAGTGCAGAAACTCGTTAGTCCAACCATGGCAGCTGTGGCAAAAGCAAAGGTACACCATCTCTCAAGTTGTTCTTGAGGCTATTGCAAAAAACTCGGGTACATGCTTGTGTAGGTGTCTTGGGGGTTCTGGGCTTCAAAGGGGAAGGTTAAAACTTAGCTGGGGAATTTCATATGGGTCTCTGCTAAACATCAGCAGGATAACATTAAATTGGACGTGGAGCTTACAAAAATGGTCTTTATGGACAATGCAGTAATGTACTGATTAGGATACAACTAATCTGTGCCCTTTTTGTTCTGTGCTTGCAATCATGGAAATGTAATAGTTCTGACTCTCCTAATCTGTAAATGTTCAATAGTTTGTAGTTTAATAGTCTTAACTTTCAGCCAGATGTAAAGAAGTTTGAAATATGTATTTTTAGTCTTAACTATATTTTCCATCAACACAAAAACCATACAATGTTGTACTCCATGTAAAATACTGTTTGCGCAATCTTATTTTCACAATAGTTATCTGTATATGTTTTCTCAAATATAAGTTTTTAACTTTGTTATTCATCTCATTACTTTAATAGGCAAATCTTCCCATGTGCCATTAGTAGGACTTTTTCGCAACAGTTGCTAATATATTGATGATAAAAAATACTGTGATAAGAGTTGTGTTTATTTTTGATAGAGGGGACTTAATCTGAAAAGTACAATGAAATAAATAGCTAGAATTTTAAGAATGTTTTTAATTATAACCGAATAACCTCTTTTTCAAGTGGTTAACCTGGAGACTTGGGTAACCAAGTGACGATGGAGGTACAGCGCTGTGAAGTGCAGTCTGTGTTAATCACCACAACCGCACTGTTAGTGTGTCAAGTTATTAATGAAGAACGAGAATGATTAATAAGAATATAAAATGTGATTAGCTTTTTTGCATAAGCGTGAATTTTTGACAGCATTACTAAACTTATTAGAAGCTGTTTTTTTTTTTACTTCAGCCTATACTTAATTAACTCAAAGTCTACTTGAAATTTGATTCAATAATAACTTTCATGGGCTGTAACAAGCCCGTGGTAGGGCACTGCTGGATCTATTAACTATTACTGTAATTGTTTTCTTTCTAGTCCTTCAGCTGTCCGGTGTGAAGTGCAACAGCTGTAGTGCACATAGAGCGGAGGCATCCTTCATAAGGAGAAAGGAAGCAATTAGCTTGACTTAATTAATGAGACAAGGACTTTTTGGAGGCGATCTTTCAATGCCATTAAATCCTAGGTTCTCCCCCAGGTTATACACTTCATTTTAGTAATAGGAGTAGTATCTGGAGGGCTGCGTTACAGGTATTTCACTCTTTTTCTTTTGGCTTGGAGGTGAAGGGTGGGTTTCAGTCACACTTAAAGACTATTTTATCAGCCGGGTTTCCTCAGCAGCGTCGCTTCTGTGTGTCTGAGTGACAGCACGGATCTTACACTCGGCGTTATTATGAACTGGGAGCCATTTTTGCCCTTAAAATAAGAAACGTCCAAAGCTTCAGCACTTAAAGCTTTGCTTCTCAGCTACGGTGTCGGTAACAGACACGGCCTTCTGCTGCCTTCAGAGACGCGCAGGCAGCGACCGCGGGGAGGCAGCTTCCCTCAGCCAAAGCACCTCGCACGGGCCGAGGCCCCGGGCGGCGGGACCGCCTCAGGCCCGGGAGAGACGCGCG